TTTTCCTTAGACATCGGTGCAAACTATTAAGAGAAATATGAAATTGGTTTTCGAGGTCTTTTTCTTGTCTGTAAAACACTTTATCCTCGTTTTGGGTGTTCACAGTGGGTCTACAAAATATTGTAGGGACAGATAACTCATTTTTTCCCTAGGTTAGGGAGGATGAAGGGGAAACTCAGAAAATAAAAAAGTCGAGACTTCTGTAACAGAGTATCAAAGTGAGTAGCACTTGACACAAAACAGACTCTGAGAAGATAGCTGCACGGACATCGAATGTGCCATACTTAGCATAGGCAGAAAGAGCACATGAAGAGAAGGGCAGCTGATGAAAGTTAATACCAACTGGTTAGTAAGTTCATGATTATAACTAGTTCGTAACTAGTCTGTTAAGAGAAAAACAGGAGGATGCAGTAAGAATCAGGAGCCTCAATACATTCTCTTGCTCTTTACCGAGGCTTTGGAGTTTACTATTGTATAATCATTTATCAGAATGTGGTATAAACGTTAGTAAACCTCATTCAGCTTAATAGTCTCATGACCAGTATTTCCTTACCCCTTTTTTTTTTTTTTTGGGGTCTTTTTGAAACGGCATTTCCCTGTAGCCCCAGCTGACCTGGAACTTGCTGTGTAAACCAGGCTGGCCTCGAACTCACAGAGATCTCTGCCTCCTGAGTGCTGGCCTAGAAGGCGTGTGCTACCACACCCAGGCTCAGATGGGTGTTTTTTAAACCTCCCTAAATACCATGGATGAGCCCAAGTTTTTTCCCTCAGTTACAGTTGTGAGGTGATGGCTAACAGGAACTTTATGATTTCAGGGCAAAGACGGCACTGCAGCAGTACCTGGCATGATGGGAGTGCCCCGAGAACCTGAGAGCATCCCGCATCCTTGTTAAAGGAAGTACAGGACTAGCCGCGTTTGATTCCTTCTGTTTGCACAAGTCACCTTGGACTGCAGGGAGCTGTTTTGCAAAAGCAGTTTAATAGGCATAGATCTCAAGTTCATCTTGAGAACTTTTTTTTGAGGTGGTGATTTCCTCGGAGGACTATTGTGTTTTGTTCTGTTTTGGTTTTTTTTGTTAGCTACTGGACTGTATTAGAACAATCAGTCATTTTCCTTTGGACCTACAGTTTTTTGCCTATGCTGCAGCCACTTTGTGAGCAAGAATGATGGGTGTGTATGTGCGTGCGTGCGTGAGTGTGTGTGTGTATGTGTGTGTACATGCATGCACATGCGTATGAGTCAGAATGAATGGGTGTGTGGGTGAGGGATACCTCAGATTTGTTTTTCTTATTTTGTGTGAAAATCTCTTTTCTACAGATTTTCCAGGGTTTAAGCATTGCTTGCTGTATAAAACAAAACAAAACTTTACTGAATTATATACAGTTTGAATGAAATGTTATTTTAAAAGCAAAACATTTTTTGGGGTCTTTTTGAAACGGCGTCTCCCTATAGCTTCAGCTGGCCTGGAACTTACTATGTAGACCAGGCTGGCCTTGAACTCACAGAGATTTGCCTGCCTCTGCCTTCTGAGTGCTGGAATCAAAGGCGTGTGCCACCATGCCCTGCCTCCTTATCTCTTTTAAATCATACAGAAGATCTGAATGATAGTTTATAGAGAGGGCTAGATCAGTCTTTGTAAGACCTACCCTCAGGGATTGAGTTAATAGGAAAAGCATGTAGTTTCCGTGTTTGCCTCAAGATAGAAAAATACCAGTCAAAGATTTGTGGTGAGAATCACTTCTTAGCACATCTTTTAATATACCAGTATTTTCTTCCTAAAATAATTGAAGAAGGGGAGCTGGCTCAATGGTTAAGAACACTGACAGTTATTGCAGAAGACCCAGGTTCGAATCCTGCACCCACATGACAGCTAACAACTGTCCGTAACTCTAGTCCCAGGGGATCCGACAGCCTCTTCTGTCTTCCGTGGGCATTGCACGACACGGGTGCACTTACATACATGCAGGCAATACATGCATACACATACAATAAAAATAATAAATAAAATATTTTTTTAAAATTGAAGAAGATAATTAGAAGAAAAGGATTAATTAGCACCTTTTTCTCCATAATTAGGCGCAGAGGATTGAGCCCAGAGCCTTGTACATTTTAGGCAAGCTCTCTACCACAGAGCCATATCCTAGCCAGGAAACGTGGTTGTGTTGCTTTCTTTCTCCCCTGCCCTTTCTGTTTTCCTACCAGATCATATTTTGCTGCCCTTGTTTTAGGATTGTGACTTTGAAGGTTGCAAAAAAAAACTTCTATCTATTACAGTACTCTGCTATATAAAGCAGGAGAGTCAAAAAGTCTTGAATGAGTATTTTGTGGAACTTATTTTGGGATACAAAAGAAATATGCAAGCTGAAAACAGTGGTCTTACACTCCCAGACCCAACTTCCCCTAATTATTTAGTAATGCCTTTTATACTGTTCTGAATGTTTTTTTAAGTGATGCTGTGTTCGGTGCTTGCTATTTCTTTAAAGATTTATTTTTATGTGTATGTGTCTGTTAGTATGTTTGCCACATATGTTTGGGTGCCTGGAATGGGACTCAGGTCATCTGGAAGAGTAGCAAACACTCTTAACCACTGAACCATTTCTCCAGCTCTATCCTAAAAAAAATTTTTCCCCAGAGATGGGATCTCACTATGTAGCCTTGGCTATCCAGGAGCTTGCTACGTAGACCAGACTGGACTGGAACTCACAGATATCTGTCTGCCTCTGCCTCCCTAGTGCTGGGATAAAGGTGTGTGCCACCTTGCCTGGCATCCCTGAAATGTTTTAAAGTAAAGGTAAAAAATGACCTCGTTATACACAAAAGAATATAATGCCTTCCCTGGTTATAGAGATAAGACAATATTTTATAATGTTGCAATGTGTACTGCCTACACCTAACTACAATAGAAAACCCGAGTCTTCCAATGCAGACAGATAAGGGTATGTGGTATTGATGACTAAAATACAGTGAATTGACTCTGATTTTCCAAAATGTTTTAACTTTAAAGAAATTTTATTATTTTTATTTTATGTGCATGAATGTATTGCCTACATGTAGATAGGTGTACTGTGTCATGTAACACCCTCGGAGGTCAGAAAAGGGCATCAGATTCCTCTGGAACTGGAGTTATGCATGGTTGTTAGCCACCATGTGGGTGCTGGGAATTGAACCTGGGTCCTCTGCAAGAGCAGTCAGTGCTCTTAACCACTGAGCCATCTCTCCAGCCCCCAAAATGGTAAACTTTTGATGAAAAATCTATCTCCCTTTTATTTATGTCACATGTATGTTACTGAAAAAAAAAATAGCCATTTTCTTTAAAACTGCAAAAAGTGCTTTCCATTCATTTGTAAAACTATGGCCAGAAGTCTCACAGTATCTGAGGTGTGCCCATCAATGCAGGAGAGCTTTCGTCTTCTCTTTAAGAACCACTACTCTGTAGAAACACAGTGCTTTTGTGTTCTGTATTAAGACAGTTCTTGTCAATTAGTAAAAGTATTTTTTTTTTAATTTATATTTTCTTCACATATCTGTTGGTTCCAGGCATGAATTTGTGAACTAGTCATTGATAAAGGTATTCTTTGGAATAGAATTTTACTCTTGTGTGTGTGTGTGTGTGTGTGTGTGTGTGTGTGTGTGTGTGTCTTTTT